ATCAAATATAGATGTAGTCTTAAAGTACATGTATTACTAAAAGTACAGTTTTTAAAATACTCGAAATAACCAAATCAATTGTGGTCCATGAGTTATTTTTAACCAACCAATCACACTTGTTTTACCATTACAATGAAACCCTGCCTGAAGGCCCATCTATTTAATACGACCACTCCGTTTAGATTTCCATGTCCCTGCGAATTAAACTTGCATACCTTTCTGGTCGATTAAATCAGGCACCCCATTAATGCGGCCAATTTTCGATGTCCATTTGGTGACCGGATTTACGAGGTTCTGCTGTAATTTGATAAAAACGGTATGGAAAAGCTTAAATATATTTTATGCTCACTCTTTGTYTCACAGATAATAATCGACGATTCAGCAAACATATCGAACCCGACTGGCTTATCAACTAYCAACAAAAGATGAAGCCACAAAAGAAGCAAATTGCTCCACTCCCATCCCCYAGRAAACCTTCTCCTTTCATTCCAAAAAACAAAGTAACACAAATCACCATGGTATTATCACCGARCAAACCTGGTACTTCAGATTCGATAGAAACCTTATCTAAACAAACTCTTGTTGASAAAAATGTGAGTGATGTTGCTCAAAATCAAGGGAAATGCAACAGAGAAGAATTTAATTCTACGAYRCAAAYAGGGTCCARCGATAAAGGAGTTGGGACAGTAGTTACTTGTGAAATCAAAGAAGCTGTTAWAGAGCAGAATCATACAAAAACCGACCAAGTAACTAGTGTRTCGCCAGATTCCARTAAGGGTTCTTTTTCAAATGAAAGGTATGGTTATTTCCTATAGTAACTGTAGGAGTAAGCATTTTTCCAGCTCAATGCGAGCGACCGCTGTTTTAGTAGCCAACAGTCTCACTTAGAGAACAAAAGAAGCACGGAAAAATGTTTACATTACAATAGCTCTAGAAATTTGAATCTTCTCCAATTTGAGGCTTAGCCTGCATTCCCACAGGAGCTCAAATAAGACAAAATGCCAGTTTGTGGGGGCTATTGTGTAAGGACAAAAGTTTTTCGTGTTTCCTTTTATCTACGCAASTTAAACAAAGGTTGTGCGCTTTGAATTGGAAAAGGCAGCTGTTTTAAAGGGGCATGATCAACCGGMATCCATTTCGAGCTTGTTCTAATGTTTGAAAATGAAGATACATCGTAATATAAGCAAAAACTTACTTCTTTATTATCCCTTTGTGCTATATCGATGAAGATATTTTAAAAGCAAACGGACGGAAACGGATTGCGAATGAATATTTGCAGTCACTTCATTTTGAATATGCGAAGAACTCGGTAAAACACGACCRCTTTGAATGCTGGTATTTTATTTTAAAGATTTTAGCCAAAATGGTGGTTTAATTTGAGATTTTAAAAGGATGTCCTTGTCTGTCATATACAATCTCTTATTCTTAAAACGTATCCTTGTTAGGATCACTGTACAACGTAAAGAGCAAAATGGCAGCCCTGATGAAGTAAGATCGAAGTTCACTGAACAGCTTGATAATGATGACAATCAACATTCTCCTAACTTTGATATTGATGGTGACGATGACACCGCGCCATTCACACCAACATCATGTCACGACAAAGATGACGTCATTCATTCAGAACCATCTCCTGCTCCCTCGGTAAGTCCTTCTTTGACCTTTGCTTTCAATATTCTCTTTTGGGTACCCTGTGGTAAAAGCATGCATGCCCAAAAGCTGGATTTTTACCAATTTTTTTCTGATTTTTTAGTATGTTGTTTAGGACATCATTAGGGGTAGGAATCAGCAAAAAAAACTTTTGCTGCACTAATTTATTTGAATCTCACCCACAAAATTTTACAGGTTGACTGACTATTTTCGATCCACTGGTAAACGAGAAATATTTGATTGCCAATCTTCAAACATTCAAAGATATTTTTGGTTGGCCAAACGTCTCTAAACTATATACAATACCATTGAAAAGGGTGGTCAAATGGGACAATATTGGCTGTCCAACAATTTTTGATGTTGGATCCAACATTTTTCGATTTACTAGAGCTTAGATATATGTTCATCATTTCACCTTTTATTTGTACATCATATTGATCTTATATGTCAACTCACGTTCCAACGTGGCTAATTATAACAAAGCAAAGCAAAACGAAACGAAACAAAACAAACCAACAACAAAAGCAAAAACAACATAACAACTCAACACAACACAACACAACAATTGTAAACCTAAGTCATCGGCTTGTCCATCCTGCATGAGGCTTCAGGATATTTCCATTTCTCAATTCAAATGTCCCTCGTTCCATCAGTGTTTGCTAGTATTCCCCAATCTCCTTCAATCCAAATCTGATCTACGATTTTTAAAAATGTTTTCATATTCAGGAAAATACAATCGAAAAATCATCCAAATCGCCTCCAGTCACTTCATCAGCCAAAAACAAACCAGGACGAGACAAGCCATCCGGCATGACGTCGATCTCTCAGAGTACAACCAAGAAAAGTAATTACCAAACTTTACCAGCACTACCCCCTGACCCCAAGGTAACTACATTAGACTATTGAATTCATTGAACTAAGCGTGCTAAGACCACTTTCACGCGATGACGTCATGGAATGCGTTATTTTCTTGGGGAATGATAAATACCCAATACGAAAGCGATTTTACCTTTTTTAGTTATTTTAGAGAACTACTGAATTTCCCTAGCAACGGATATGCCATTACACCCCTAAAAACACCAATGTGAAGCGGTCTTTGTGATTCATGATTGTTGCATGATTGTTGCTTAATATTTCTGTGACACTTTTTCTCCAGGAACAAACGAGGGCTCAGTCTTTGGCTAATAATTATCTTTCAAAAGTAAAGGTAAGACTGCAGTACCTACAATATTGTAATGGGAATACTTATAAATATTGATATTTTCATACCACTGCAAATGTCAGCACCAATTGCTGAAAACGAAAGGTGCAATTTCAAACAAATGTTGAAAGCGATTCCGCATCAACCATTCAATACCTTTCAACACTGTTCTACCGAGTACTGGTGTTCAAACAAATGTTGAAAGCGATTCCGCATCAACCATTCAACA